TTTCCTGACTTATGTTGGGAAACATATGTTTCTAAATTATATTACTCCATGTTTTAAAAAATCAGGTGAGTTTCTACATAGTATGAGAGTGTAACAGTGTTCCATAGTGGACAAGTGGTTTCTTTGGTTGCTCAGTAAAGAGCGAGGTGTTGCTGTCATCCTGTATCATGGCCCGGCAGGGCTGGCTGCATGTTGAGAAGGTGAACTGATAATCTCTGGGATAAAATTAAACATCTCTGATGAGTGTTAGACATGGAACTCCAGATGTTCTACTTAGTTGTGCTCCAAAATCATATACTGAAAAGCAAAACAAAACCCAAGCACTTTGCTGTTCACGAGTTGCCACAGCACGAGTGACTTTTGCTGGGCTTGCTCCTACAGTGGGAGCTTTCGTGTGCCAGCATTCAGGAACAGCAACTGGGGGGGCAAAGTGTCGTTCCCCTCCTCAGACTTCAGTTAAAAAATGAGTACAATTGTATTTTCTTGTTTTACAAGAAGGCTTACTTCCATTTTGAGGCTTTTGTTAGATTTTAAAAACGGCTTGTCAAGAAGCGTGCAACCTTTTCGTAATTACTTACATCAATAGGAACTATTTTTTTCTGCATTTAAAAACCCTTTAAAATCATAGTGTAAAAGTCAGAGCTGCAGGTATTCCGAGCCAGTAAGTAATTGCAAATTCACCAAACAGGTCCTCAGCTGGTGACCAGTAGTAGTGTCTTGAGTGCTGAAAGCCCCATGTGCCAGCCCTTAGCCTGTCTGGTCGCAGCCTTTTGATTTTGTCGCCGTGGATTGGAAATCGCAAGGAGCTGCTATGCACAGAATTTATAACCTCGTCCTGGCACTGTTTACTTTGAGGTCTGCTCTGAAAAAATTTACTGTAGCCTACCAACCAGAAATCTTTGAGAAGTATTAAGCAGCTACCTTGCCTGTATATAAAACATGATGGTTGTTTTGTACTTGCTGAGGAGCTTATGGGATGGGGAGATGTGCTGTTCTCTTCAGGTAACAGGATTAATGCTTCAGAGTTGAACACACCTGAATTGTTGACGTTGGTCATTTTGACAGATTGTGCATTCCCTCTGTCCTGTTAAAAGAGTAGGCACCAAAAACTAAGCCTGATGAAATGCTTCAAAAACAAAGCCCATGCAAGTGAAAAAGAAGACTGGGAAGAGAAATATGTAACGGCTGTTCGCAATGAAGACAAGCATTTTTTTAATGTAGGGCAAAAATATTTGAGCAGCTTAAGTACTGGAACCTAACGTGTGCTGTGTGATAGTCTTGAGTCCACGCTTACTCCTTCTGAAAGTCTAGAACTGAGTTACGAGACTGTAAATAATTCAGAAAACAGTCTTTGTTTATCAAATGTCAATGTTCTTCGCTTTTTTCTTTCAGCATTTCACGAGGTCTCCGTTTACCCACAGAAGGAACTTCCCTTTTTCATCCATTTCACAGCAGGCCTGTGTTCCTTCTCGGCAATGCTCGCCCTCCTCACGCACCAGTTCCCTGAGCTGATGGTCGTTTTTGCTAAAGCTGTAAGTACTGTCTCTGTCCTGGGGCTTGCTAAGGTAACTCGGCAGTCTCATGCTTGTGGGGCATGAATTGCTTTATTTCCTTTTGTAAGAATCTAGTTAGTGACAAACACTTGTTGAAATTTGGGCAAAACGTCTATTTTGACAAGGTGAACTGTTACCATAATGTACCATGGCTTTAGCTTGCACTCTTAGGGTGAGAGAGCAGCATTTCTGCACCAGACAAGTTTTGCTACTGTGTTGAGTATGGATTTTATTGTCATAGAAGTGGAAGACTGCAGTGTGCGAGTCTCAAAGAATAAATTTGTTGATTGGAGATTTTGAGAATTGAGTAGAAGGCAGGGTGGGCTGCAGGAAAAGCAAGTCTCTTGCTGAGCATTGGAAACTAGTAGCATGATGTGAACGGAATGGACAAGAACAGAAGTAACTGTTAACTTCCAGGCCGGGTTCAGAAGTTGTTGGCTGCCACTTACCTTCTGGGAACTAGAGCAGTGGTTTTGTGTCTCACCTGGTTCCAGTTAGTAGATGGAGAACATGTTCAGTGACCACAATTGTCATTTGAGTACCTGTTCAAGGATAGAAGTCGGACTTGACGATGGCAATCAGACTTTTTAGCCGGGTATGTTTCTAATCTGTGCTGCTTTAACTAGATCTAAACGTGTCTGCTGTGGAGCTGTTTGTTCCGATGGGTGCCTTCTGTGCCCGTCTCCTTTCTCCCTCTCTCTGCCTTGCTCTTTCTAGGGTTTCTTTTCCTTGCTCATCTGTTAACGTTGCTGCTGGCTGTAACCTTGTCATCTGTCCTGATCTCCGAAGGCTGTGCTGTCTTACTTTGACAGAGAAACTGCACAGGCACCTTCCCCTCGCCACTTCCCAAGCCGAGCCATGCGGTGTGCTTGGCCTTTGCTGAGCTGCGGATCTCATGCAGTAGAGCGGAGTGGTGAATAAAGAGCTCTGAACTCTCCATGATTCAATTGTTCTAGCTTTACTGGTCAGAATGGAGGGTGAAAGGCGTTATGCTTTCTTGCTGGTTTTTATTGCAGCAGGTAATGGAGACCCAGGAGATAAGCCTTTTTTTCTTAAGAATCCTTTTTTCGTAGAAGCATGGGCTTTGCGAGCGATTCTAGTCTACAATGTCCAAGTCATGCAGGTCTGAGAGTGGGGCCTCTCTTCCACACAGTTCTGTTGATCTTTATGTTGGAAAACGTAGTTGGACATGCCAGTGACAAATTTCAGTGCTGCTTATAATTGGCTGGGTTCAGAGTAACCAGGGTCTAACTATCTGCTTGATTAATTCTGTAAGGACTGCATTAGCAAAGTTGTATGATTTCCAAAGAGATACAAGGTCAAATGTTATGCTAACACAGAATTGCTTGGTGAAGCTCTCTGCTGGGTTTCTTGAACCAAAAAAAGACTTTGTACGAGTTAGTTGGCTTTGCATAGTGGCATTTTGAATGTCAAGTGACACGTCCAAATGCAGGGAAAAAACCCCAGGGTTTGGTCATTTGGCAGTGTGTTTATATCCCTTATTTTCTGTAGGAAAGGATAGATAGGGTCTGTTCAGCTGAAAAGATGATCAAGAAGCACGTGTATCGCCGTATCGTTCCACCAGCAGTGGTGGCAGGCACAAAGGGGTTCTGGCCACTCACTGTGCCAGCCTAATACTGGCAGAAGCGGAAACTGAGAGATAAACAGACAAGAAGTGAATTCTGTATTAGTCTCTTGAGATTGACAGCTGAGAAGGAAATACCATCTTCCAGTATTCTGCTGGTTTAGGTAGGATTAATGTTAACTCCCAATCATATTCTAATGACTAATTTCTTCCTTATTTTAGTTATTAGATTGTTTTACTCTTGATCCCGTTGCTGATGTTTTCAGAAGCTTTCAGAAAACTTGTAAGAAACAATGATGTTCAATATCAAACCAACATAATTTTATTCATAGGTTGCTTCAGTGTTTTAGCTATAGCATACTGTGATGGCTGCTAACACTTTATAAAGCATTATCTCTTTGTTCTGGAGACGTGTGGCCCTAGCGTCCAGTTGAATTTTCATACTGGAAATGGAAGTTTACCTCTCTTTGATGACACTTCCCTCTCCCCCCAAGAATACTGTAATGAAACAATTATTACTTGCTGTATCTAGTGTTATATCTGCAGGTAATTCCAGTGCTCTAAGCCTTCTGAATGAAATTTTTTTTCCTGTGTATTTCATTATTTCAAGTATATTTTCATGATACTCTGTTTTAACTGATTAAATATAGTCATTTGAGATATTAAAGTTCTAGATGGTAGATACCTGGAGTGCTTTAGCCGTACTGAAAAAGCCATACAAGATATATTTCCAACAAATCTAGAACACAATTTTAGGAACAACAGTTGGGAAGTATTGTGTATATGGAATTTTTCACTGTAAATCTCTAAGTGACTTAAATATGATCACTTAGATTACATTTCAGTTGCTTCTTAATCAAACTCGTTTCCAGCAATTGAATCTACAGCAAACTGCATGCCTCTAAAGGGTTTTAAGAAGTTGAATACCTTTCTATTGACTTGAAAAGCCAGAGTTTACATATTTTCATTTGTTAGTGCTTGAGTTTGTTTCCTCCATAATAAATCACAGGGTAAACCTTGGCAAATTGCTAAAAATATTCCAAGTGGCCAAAAATCACAACGAAGCGTTTGCTAGTTCCAATGTATACAGCGTAATACACCATCAACAGAGACTCCAGCGCTGGCACCGCCTGCGAGTCGGCTCCCTCCGGAGCGGGAGGCAGCTCTGCCTCCGGGCGCCGGAGGGCTTTTCCGTGTGTCTTGCCCAGGTGGCACTGGGCACTGGTGCTGGCAGAAGTGCTTAGCATTTACTGATCCAGGTGGAGCCAACCGTGGCTTATTAGTTCTCTTGACCTCAGACTTTTAACATTCTTTGACTAAGGGAAGATGTACCAAGTGAGTCAGTGCCAGTGAGGACAGTGGAAGAGGCGGTGGGCAGCTCCGTATGCCCGGCAGCTCGAGTGCAAGTGCTGTCAGTGGGTGAGAGCTCAGCCTTGCTCTTGGTTTCAGCTAGACTTCTCATCTCTTGGAGGACCACTCTGCTCTTGCTCGTCAGAGACAGCTCTGTTCCTTAAGCAGCTGCCGTTCAGAATTTTCTCAGTAAATGACAGGAGGAATTACGCAAAAGGGATGACAATGATCTCTACAGTTCACTGAGCAAGCTGAAAAACAGTGCTACATAAAACAACTTCTGCTGAAACCGCAGACAAAAGGATCTGATTATTTTTCCATTCAGTATAAATTTTTATTTTTCAGTAGTTGCATAGGTGGAGAACTGGGTAGCTATGTGTCATCTCGCAAAAGTGATGTCGCACAATTCCTTCTGTAGTATCTTGCAAAGACACCGAGAAGTCTGCCTTCAAGAAGACTAGAGGTGCAGACTGACAGTGTAAATAGTCGTCTCAGAAATTCCTGAAAACAACTAGCATCCTTACTTTCCAAGCAAGGCAATCTCATTTTTGAAGTCCAAACCTTATGCAAGAGACCACTATTAGTTAAAGTATTGAAAAAACATCGCAGCAGTGTTCC